TGGCTCTTGATAAAGTTAAAATAAACTTTCAAAAGCATACTCCAATTCCTCACAAAGTTTAACAGATGAACAACAATATATTCCATATTTACAGCACTCACTATGCCTGAAAGCATTCTCAGAAGTCCCATCTCAAGTGAGTTTCATGACCGCCCTACGAGTTGATGGCACAATGTTACTATTTCTCCATAAGAAAATTGAGGCTGTGGTAAGGGATAGGTCCAGGTTCTCATGGCGAGCAAACAAGAGGTGAGACTAGACCCCCAGATATCCATAGGGCATCATCACCAACGTTAGAGTGACTAAGATGCACCTGAGTACTAGTTCCAATGCAGCCTCCTTGACTTCAAACCCAGAGGTTCTGATCCATCATGTCTTAAGCAACGCACGAGTTCCTACGATATCACCCATGATGCACCTGGCCCCAGAATCTCAACTGATGAAACACCACCAAAAAGGAAATCCTTTTTCTGTCCATGGCTTTGAATATGATCCTGTCCAGAAGCAAGGAAGTGGATCAGCTGACTAATCCATGATGCTTTCCAAACAAATAGCATTTCCTTTGCCTTTCCCTCCATCTTCTTATTATCTACTACTGTTAGCTTTTCAGAGAACAAAGACAAACTCTAGATCAGTAATGGTCAATGAGTTTCAGTCAACTCAGATCAATCAGCAATGGCTTCCTTACAGCCTTGGATTGAGAAGTAATGAGACCGTACCGGCCGAAGTAGGAAAATGTACTGTGATCAATCAGTAATGTCTGTCAGGGACACAGTGAGGACTCCAAGCCTATCATTGATCTAGACAGGACTTTATCCTCAGTTTTTTATTATTACTTTTGTAGAAAGAATCTGTCTACAAAGAGAGACTTTGTTTTTAACTACAGATAATGAGAAATGACTTTTTAAACTGCTTCCATGCTGCCCATAATCTATGGGTTGTACTTGAGACATTTTAGATGTCATGATTCAAATGTAAATATCCCCTGAAATCCATCACTGTCTGGGTAGTTGATTAAGCACCATGCACTATAACAGTGTTCCCTTTTCTGATCTTCAGGCATTTTATTTTTGTGAGCTGATGTATTACAAAGACGAGGGTACTTTCTCACATATTCTGCTCATGGTAACAGATGAGGTGTGAAATTGATTCCGAACACCTAGGAGGGTTATGATTTATCATCACACATTAGGCCCTGTGGAGCTTTACAGGATGAATCCCAACTACAGTCAGAATCCAACCACACTTCTGGAATGAGGACACTTAGTGTCATGATACATTAAGTACAGCTATTTCACAGCTGGCACCCAATAAGAGGCTTCAATTCATTCAGTCAGCCAGCAAATATTTACTGAGCACCTAATATACGTCAGGTACCGTTTCAGGAACTGCAGATGCCACAAGGGGCAAGACAGACTCACTTATCCCGAGAGTTGGCTTCATGCCCTGAGAACCCACACTCACCACTGGCCAAACACACCAACAGCCTGGCACCTGGAGAGCAACACCTGAGTTGGCCTGAACTGAACATCAGCCTACAATTTTACTTGGAGGAACCAACTTGTCAACAGCCAGCACTGCACCTTCAGCGTTCTTACTCTCAGTACAAAGGAGGGGCCCATGGAAATCTCTAATGAGTGAGGGGTTACAGCTCGTGAGCCCCTCAGGAAGTTGCTCTGTAAAGACGGGGCTTCACCACCTAGATGTCCATCTGCAGAAGAATGGATGAGGAAGCTGTGGTACATATACACAATGGAATATTACTCGGCCATTAAAAAGAATGCATTTGAATCAGTTCTAATGAGGTGGGTGAAACTGTAGCCGATTATACAGAGTGAAGTAAGCCTGAAAGAAAAACACCAATACAGTATACTAATGCATATATATGGAATTTAGAAAGATGGTAATGATAACCCTATATGTGAGACAGCACAAGAGACACAGATGTATAGAACAGTCTTTTGGACTCTGTGGGAGAGGCCGAGGGTGGGATGATTTGAGACAATAGCACTGAAACATGTATATATTATCATATGCAAAACAGATTGCCAGTCCAGGTTAGATGTATGAGACAGGGTGCTCAGGGCTGGTGCACTGGGATGACCCAGAGGGGTGGGATAGGGAGGGAGATGGGAGGGGGGTTCAGGATGGGGAACACATGTACACCCATGGCTGATTCATGTCAATGTGTGGCAAAAACCACTACAATATTGAGGGCTAGGCTCCAGGCAGATCTATAAAAGCACCCATGGGTGATTCTGATGAATCTAGAAAACACTTTCTTCAAGCTTCATTTAGATACAGGCCTCACCTCTGTCAAAATACAAGGTAGAAATTATGGTAAAGGGAATAAAAACTCATCTGACTGGGAATCACCCAGGTTGAGTTCTAGTCCTGATTCCATCTTTAATCAGCTGCATGACCTCAGACCAGCTATGTCAGCTTTCTGGGACCCAGTTTCATTATAGACACAATGAGAGGAGGAATAGATGATTTCTAACATGTCTTAAAGAGCCAAGGTTAAGTAGTTTTTTTTTTTTCACATTTGCAGGCCAATTTCAAACACTAATTGATTAAGCCTCAGTATAAATAATCACTGTTAAATAGTTCTTACAGGAAAGTAATACATATTTAAAACACATTCGTGCCAGATCAGTCCATTACATATTTAGATGTCTTCAGAATCCATAATTAAGCTTCTGCAGTGTTCAGTGTGGAATTTTTATAAACTCCCCAGTAGCAATGTCATTCTTGTACTATTTGGCACCCTGACTTGTGCCTTCCTGACCCCTGCCCCATCCTTCAGATGTCCCCTCAGCTGCAGTAATTAGTCCTTATCTGACTCTCAAGTGGAAGCTACCAGATTTCTCTAATAATATGTAAAATTCTCTCTTCTAATTAGAGAATTCAGAATTGTAACTTCTTACAAGACTGACTAGATTACTATTCTTGTACTTTTTCATGCTGATTGCCTGCCTCTCTATACCCCATTCACTCATAGCATCATACAAATCCTCTGGGCTGATGGCTGGGACCACTGGCCAAGCAACTTCTCAGAAGACAAACATCAAAATGTTGTTATCTATTACTTCTCCATGTGGCTTCCCAGGTGGCTCAGTGGTTAAAGAATCTGCCTGCCAATGCAGGAGACTCAGGTTCAGTCCCTGGGGAAGATCACCTGGAGAAGGATATGGCAAACCACTCCAGTATTCTTGCCTGGAGAATCCTGTGGACAAAGGAGCCTGGTGGGCTACTCCTTTATGGGCTAGAGTCCATAAAGTCACAGAAAGCCGGACATGACTTAGCAACTAAGCATGCACATTGCTTCTCCATACAGATAACCTACTTTGAGATAATGATGAATGAGACCAAAATTTGACTTTCTTGACCATTCACCATAGTTATCTTGTGAACACCCCTAGCTCCAGCCTAGTTACAGGTCAAAATCAGCACGAGTAATTCCCCAGGATCACCAAGACACAGTTGACGCAGCCAGTGTTTGTCTTTGGGATGACAAACTACCCCCCTGGAATCATAGCATCTTAGAGCAATATATCTCATACCTGTAATGCGATAAGAATTCCACAGGGAACTGTGGAACTGTGTGGTTGTTTTCCAATCTGCTCACAGTCCCACACTCTCCTTTCAATCTCCTACTCTATACTGCCAGGCCTGGAAGCATGCTAGGTTTTCCAGATTCTCTTTTCAGTGGCTTTTGGTTAGGTTCAGTCAATGTGAATCATTGGCACCTGGAAAGGAGAAGTCACCCTGGTCCTAGCAGAGGTGGTATCTCATAAGTAATTCTAGCAGCGGCAGGGCACACCTCCCTCCAAGACCCCAGCGCTGCTTGTTGACACAGTATTGCTTTTGATATCATTTGTCAGACAAGCAAGCTGCAAGGCCCACCCAGACTCAAGAGATGGAGAAGACTCCACCTCCTACAATGGAGCAGTCCCATTAAAATCATATTTAAAAAGTGCTATTCCTTAGCACATTCCTTGTTCCTTTCATTCCTCCGGTTCTCCCAACACCATTATTTTTATGATAGGCAGTATGAAAAATGGTTCAGATTAATCCCTTCTGACTGCCTATTCCCCTTTGCAGTACGACTATAAAGCTCCTCCTGTCAACAAGTAATGTCTTTCTCCACCTCTGGGATCTAGGTTAGACCTATGACTTGCTTTGGCCAATAAATAGTAGCAAAAGCAATACTCCAGTTCTGATTTTTTTTATATTGCATATATTTATTTCAACCTAACAATCTGATCAGGTGGGATTTATCCCAAGGATGAAAGGATTCTTCAACATATGTGCATCAATCAAGTCAAACACCACATTAACAAACCAAAGAATAAAAACTGTATGATCATCTCAATAGATACAGAAAAAGCTTTTGACAAAATCCAACACCTGTTTACGATAAAAACACTTTGGAAAGTGGGCATAGTGGGAACATACCTCAACATAATAAAAACCATATCCCACAAACCCACTGCCAGTTCTGATTTTAGACCCAAAAACCTTGCATGGTTTCTTCTGGAATCCCACTAAGCTTCCAATGAATGAGCCTGAGCTGGTCTGCTGAAGAAGGAGACCTCACAGAGGAGAAGCAAAGTGCCCCAGCCAACATCCATCAGATGTCAGGACCAGAGGTACCTCGCTGACCTGATATCTACCACAGACACACAATTGAGACCAGCCAGAATCAGATGAGCAACCCAGTTAGTTGTCCACTAGACTGAGGAGCAATAACAAGCAGTTGTTCCTTTAAGCTACTAGTTTTAGGGTGTTCTGTAACCTCCCAACAGATAATCTTATAATAACTGATCCCTTTCACTAAATGGAAGGCATTGCTATTTCTCTGACTAGATAATGACTAATAAAGAAAGCTTGTTAAAAATGAAAAACCCCAGTTGAAGCACCCCAGTCATTTTTATCTTTGCCAAACACAGATTTCAAGGAGTTGTGGAAATTATCTTGTCAAAGATAATCTCTCTCACCTCTCAGGTGGTTTATCGATAAGATCACCTTTAGGCAAAACTTCAGTCTGATCAAATACTTGGTAATCAATTCCAGCGTCCAAGGAACATCACCATACTGTCAGGGATCTTTTCTTCATTCCTAGCTTCATTCCCTCAAGCTGCAATTTTTGTCTTTTTCCTTGTATTTCTTTCTGAGAAGAAGAAAAAAATACCAGCTGGCAGATATTCTCTACTACTAAAACATGTTTTACCCCTCAGGTTAAATAGCTGCAGCCAAGTTCTTTTAAGTTTTCATTCTGGCTGTTTGGAATTTAAAAAGCAAAATTTAATTAGTGCCTGATGAACAGCATAATGATCTGAGATTTCTACATATTACAAAACGATCACCACAATAAGTCTAGTTACCATCTGTCACCACACAGAGGTATTATATTACTATTGACTATATTCTACTTGGTGTACATTTCAGCCCTGTGACTCATTTATTTTGTAGTGGAAATTTATACTTCTGCTGGAGAAGACTCAATCTTGAGAGTCCCTTGGACTACAAGAAGATCAAACCAGTCAATCCCAAAGGAAATCAAGTCTGAATATTCACTGGAAGGACTGATGCTAAAGCTCCAATACTTTGGCCACCTGATGAAAAGAGCTGACTCGCTGAAAAGGACCCTGATGATGGGAAAGATTGAAGGCAAAATGAGAAGGGGATGGCAGAGGATGAGATGGTTAGATAGCATCGCCAAATCAATGGACATGAGTTTGAGCAAACTCTGGGAAATAGTGAAGGACAGGGAAGCATGGCATGCTGCAATCCATGGGGTCGCAAAGAGTTGAACACAACTTAGAGACTGAACAAACAAACCAACCAACCAACCCCCTTAACATATTTCACTCATCTCTCTGTTAGGCAGGAAGTTAGCTGAGAACAAGAGGCAACTCCTTCATCCATGACCCTGCCATGCTACAAAAGAGGAGACTCATTTTCTTTTATAATACAGTCTAGACCCAATATCACCTTTGGGTCTGGGAATCCTGGCCCCTAAATGGAACCATTAATTATAACACTATTCTCCAGTTAAACCTATTTTGCAAAAGGCAGGGCAAATAGTCTGAGAGCCCATATGTACAATTTTCCTTTGTCCTACGGAACAGCCAGGATTTCCTTACAACTTGTAAACTTCCCACCTTTGCAACCCTGCTACTTAAGGAAAATCCCTCAATTCTACCAGTCACATCACACCTAGTTCTGCCCTACCACCTTACGAGGGACCTCTGTTACCTCCATCAGCTAAAGTCTATCCCTTGGTGGAAGCACCAGGAGGCAAATTTGGCCCACAACTAGTCCATAAGCCTTTCTCATTGGTAGAACTAAAACAGATCAAGGCAAAATTGGGTAGCTTGTCAGACAATCCCACTAAATGTATCCAGGGATTCCAACATATTGTTATGGCTTATGAAATGACCTGGAAAGCTATCACAATAATCCTAAACCAGACCCTCTCTGATACTGATACAGAACAAGTTGAAAGAGAGGCAGAAAGATTTGCTGATGGACTCCACCTTTCTGGTACTAAATACCCCATTGGGAAGACGGCAAGCCCCAGCATTGATCCAGAATGGGACTACAGTCAGAACACTGCAGAAAGAACACCAGTGGGAAAGAAACAATTTTATCATCTGTATCAAAGCAGGCCAAAACACACCAAAACAAAGTCATAAACTACTCCCACATAACAGCAATCAGCCAGGAGCCAAGGGAAAATTCAACAGCCTTCCTGTTGAAGCTTCCTGTTAGGCTGAGGGAAGCATTCATTGAATATACCAATCTAGATCTGGACTCATATGAGGGACAAGTTAAATCAGCACCTGATATTAGACACAAATTATAAAAACTAACTGAAGACCTAAATGTCACCTTAGATGCACTAGTGAACAAAGCCTCAGTCTTCTATAACCGTGACCAAGAGACTGAGGCCAAGGCCTGGGAGAAAGAAAGAAGGAAAGAATCAAATGCCCAAATGATGGCTGCCCTACAGGGTCAAGCTGCCCCCAACAGTACCTGAATTTACAGCTCAAAAAAAGACAAATGTCACATTTGTTGCCAGATGGGCCATTGGGCACAGAAGTGCCCCAGCTGGGATAGACCTAAGACTGCTTGCTACAAATGCCAACAGTTGGGAAACTGGGCAGCCCTTTGTCCCTTGATCCAAAGAGACTAAGGACCAGAGGCTGCTACCCAGATGACTGCCAAGACTGAGGAGGGCCCCTCCAGTTGGCCCCAGTACAACAGATCCACAACACTGGAGTGGAGTCAAGAGCACAAGTGGATGTGGCAGGTAAGTCAACCATTTTCTTACTCAGATGGGGGGCCACCTATTTGTCTTGACTTCCTTCTTTGGACCCTTCTCTTCATAGACCTGCACCATCATGGGAGCCACAGGCAAACCATTCAACAGGCCTTCTACTATATCCCTATTCTCTGTCTGGGAGGGATCTGGATTCTCCCACGATTTTTTACGAATGCCTGACTGTCCAAGATGACTCCTGGGGAGGGACGTACTACAAAAATGGAATGCCATTCTGTCTTCCTAGGAGGGTCACATGGACCCTATCCAGGGTACAAATTCTGGGAAACTTTAAGAAATCTCCTAACTAATGAAGATATCAAAAATTCCTCTGGGCCAGACCAACTGCAACCCACTGGCCTGGGACCCAGGTGTCCAAAGAAAAGCTAAAAATGCAACACTGGTCATGACAGCTCTAAAGGACCCACATAAATTTCCCTAAAAGACATAATATCCCCTTAGGTCCAAAGCCCACATGGGACTTCAACCCTTCATATCCAAATCCATGATGTCTCATGGACTCCTTATTCCCACAAAATCACTTTGCAGTACCCCAATATTAGCAGCCAAGAAAAAGGAAGGCACTTACCACCTGGTCTATTATTGCCTCGTTAATGATTTGTGAATCATTAACGAGGCAATAATTCCCCTACACCCAATAGTCTCCAAACCTTACATACTTTTGGGAAAGTTACCCCCAGATAGTAGCTGGTTCTCAGCTCTAGATTCGAAAGATGCTTTCTCCTGCATCCTATTGGCCCCAGAATCACAATACTTGTTTGCATTCGAATGAGAATCTCCATTACAAGCACCTCAGCAACTGACCTAGACCGTTCCGCTGCAGGGCTTTAGGGATTGCTCCCATCTCTTTAGACAGGTGTTAGCCTGAGATTAGGGCTTCCCTGATGGATCAGATGGTAAAGAATCTGCTTGCAATTCTTTAGGTTTGCAATGAGACCTAGGTTTGATCCCTAGGTCGGGAAGATCCCCTGGAGAAGGAAATGGCAACCCACTCCAGTATTCTTGCCTGGAAAATTCCATGGACAGAGGAGCCTGGCAGGCTACAGTTCATGGGGTCACAAAGAGTTGGACACAACTGAGTGACTTCCAGTCCGAGATTTACAAGATTTAACACTTGAGAGGGGAGCTTTCATACAGTATGTAGATGAACTCTTGATTTGTTTCCTCTCTCAACCCTAGGCCATTCATGCCAGTCAGGTCCTTAATTTCCAGGCCGAGTCGGGTTATAAGGTGTCCCAATCTAAAGCTCAGCTAGTACAACAATAAGTTTCCTAGCTCAGAACAGTACTGACAGGTATACTGGCAGGCACAGTATTTTGGCAGACTGTATAAAAGCCATCTACATCTGACCTACAGACACACACCACATGTAAGCAGCTGCGAGCATTCCTAGGCCTAACCAGGTATTGTAGAATTCAGATACCCAACTACAGTTTCATTGTGCAGCCCATATATGAATCCCTAAAACGCAGAGATGATTAAATACCCCTTGTGTGGGGGTCATCCCAACAGGAGGCCATGGAAACTTCCTCTTTGCCAGAGCTCCAACTTTAAAATCTCTTTGCCAGAGATTTGGCAAAACAGTCTCTTTACCAGAGCTCCAACTTTAGGATTACCCAACCTTTCCAAGCCATTCTAACTTTCCACCCATGAAAAAGGGGGCGTTGCCTTAGGGGTCCTCACCCAAAGACTACAAGAAACTCCAAAGCCAGTAGCCTAACTCGCCGAACAGTAGGGTCCCACTGTGAAGGGCTGGCCCCCTGTCTTAGGGCACGGTACTATCCCTCCTAAGAGAGGAGGCCCTTAAATTCACCCTGGGAGCACCCATTTGGGTTCTCACTGCTCAGCATGTACATTTACTTAATAACCAGGCTTCAACCTAGCTTTCAGACAATAAGATCCTCAGCTATCAAATCCCCCCCCCCTTTTTTTAAACCCACAGATATCTTGGGTGTTTGTAGGACTCTAAATCTAGCAATCTTGCCCAAACCAGGGGGAAAAGCTCCTACCCATTTTTGTTCCAAGGTCTTGACAATTTTCTTAAATGCCCACCTGGACCTCTCGGATCAACATTTGGCTGATGCTGACCAGGTTTGGTTCACTGATGGAAACAGTAATACAGCAGAGGGAAAACACAAGGCTGGATATGTCATCACATCCCTTCATGAGGTCACTGAGGCCTGGGCTCTGTCTCAGCGCTCATCCCCATAACTTGCCAAAGTCACTGCACTCACCTGAGCATTAGAATTGGCCAAATCAAAAAGGGTCACAATTAACACTGATTCTAAATGTGCTTTCTTGATCCTACATGCCTGTGTAGCCATCTGCAAAGAAAGAGGATACCTAATCTCCAAAATCAGCCCCACTAAATACGGCCCTCATTAAGCAGCTAATCCAGGCTGTCCGCCTGCCTACAGAGGTAGCCATGTGCGTGTGTGTGTGTGTGCTAAGTCGCTTCAGTCATGTCTGACTCTTTGCGACCCCATGGACTGTAGCCCACCAGGCACCTCTGTCCATGGGCTTCTCCAGGCAGGAATACTGGAGCAGGTTGCCCTGCCCTTCTCCAGGGGATCTTCCCAACCCAGAAATCAAACCTACAGTTATCTTAGATGTTTGTAGGACTCTAAATCCAGCAATCTTGCCCAAACCAGGGGGGAAGCTCCTACCCATTTTTGTCCCAAGGTCTTGACAATTTTCTTAAATGCCCACCTGAACCTCTTGGATCAACATTTGGCTGATGCTGACCAGGTTTGGTTCACTGATGGAAACAGTAATATAGCAGAGGGAAACACAAGGCTGGAAGACACAAACTCACATCTCTTCTG